TGTCAAAAGAGAGGATATTATCCAAGCTATGGAGTTTAAAGGCGTTGTCAAAAGATATTGCAAGCTTCGTTTGACCTTGATCTATTGTGTGATTTGGTTCATTTGGAAAGCTCGGAATTTGTTGGTTTTCAAAAAGTCGAGATGTACTCCATTGAAGTTGGTGGATGATTTATAGCTAGCGACGTTTAATTGGATGAAGCATCGTAAAAATATTTCTAATTTATGTTGGTATAATTGGTGTAATTCTCCCTATATCTCTTGTATGTTGTAACCTGCTAGCATCTTGCTAGTGTTTTTTGTTGAATACATCCGCCATTCAAAAAAAAAAACAACATACTTATCACTTTGTGGAACAATATACTCAAAACCACCATATACAACATTCAAAGTCACCATATGATGAAATAAATTACCTACTTGATTGCTTCATGTACTTGACTAATATTCACTCGACTTATTTCAACTAACAAATCTATTTTAAGAGAGAATGCATTCGAAAGAAACAATATTGCCATATTTGGAAATACACCACAGACCAATTAAAGTTGCAAAAGAAATGTCACAGATAGAGGTTGAAACATTCAAAGTCACCATATGATGAAATAAATTATCTACTTGAGTGCTTCATGTACAATCATATATTCACTAAACTTATTTTAACTAACAAGTCTACTTTAAGAGAGAATGCATTCGAAAGAAACAAAATTACCATATTTGGAAATACATCACGGACCAATTAAAGTTGCAAAAGAAATGTCACGGATAGAGGTCGAAACAACGATGGGTGAAGACAGTAAATTCCAACAATTTCTTGTTCTATATAAACATATTAAGGATAAAAAAAAAAGACTCAATCCAACCTACAAAATACGTTAGTTGATCATTATGGGAAACTTATGCCAATACATAAATATGTATTAGTTTATTTAAATGTGTATGTAATATTTCAATAAAATGCATGTATAATATTTATTTAAAATCGTGTTATAAATATAATCTTATTCATTTAGTAAATTTTTGATTAAATTAAATATTAATCCAAATTTATCATATACGAACGGTTTATTTTGTTATAACTTTATGATAACATAATTTACAACATTATTGTAATTTGGGGGTAAAAATAAGGTAAACTTACGGGCTTTAATGAACCAAAATATGTAAAAGAGTAAAATTAAGGGATTTAATAAACTAGGATAAAATCAAATATTTCTTTCAAAATTAAGTGCTTTACAAAATCAGAAAAAATAGTAAATTTGGATACTTCTTCCAAAGATAAAGACTTTAATGAACTAGAAATACACAAAAGAGTAAAATTGAAAAAAAAAATTGCAAACATTTGTTTATAGGAAAAATGACACTGTAGCACATTAAAGGTTCATCAATTATCTGATTTGGTCACTAAAGTATTTTTCTTGCGCAATAGACCATTAAACTCGTTATTAACCTGTTAATTAAACCATTTTTCTCAACTTTAAAAGGTTTCCAGGTAACAATGCTGATATGTCATTAATAATCATTTTGTCTTTATTTTTTGGTAGCCACATCTGATAATCCACGTTAGCCTTATTATTATTTTTTAGGAAGCACCTTCCACCTCTTACTCCTAACCACCATCACTACCAGAATCATCAGTTGCCCATCCTATCTCCACCTCTCAGCACCACCACTGTTCATCTTCCTCCAACGAACACACCAAAATGAACACCAAATCACAAAAAAACCAGAACAACAAGAATGACGATAAAATCCAAGTGAAATCAATGAATGGGTTATTTATCTCAATTATTTTTCTCTATAAAAAGGAATTTTTTTTATCAGTTTTGCTAAGCTTCTTGAAAATCTACACTCAAAATCAAGAAACACACTACTTACCTAACGCAAGGTGTGACGTTGATGCTCTAAGTAGATCAAACCTAAACCATTGGCATCGAGATAGATTAGTTTTGAGTAAAAGATTCAAAATTTTCGACAACTCATGGCTTTTCTCAGTTGGGAGCAATGAGTTTTGAATGATCGAGCTCCCAATCTTGCCTTTCCCCATTAATGTTCGTATCAATCCTCTACCTAGAAGTTCTATTATTTTCTTGTTGAAACTTCTTCCTCTTATGATGATGGTGGTAGCCGAAGAGGTGGTGTGGTTTAGATGTTTATGTAAATGTTCATCTAAGCTCTTGAGATAGATCTGGTATGTTCTCAGAAATCCATTTTTATGTGATCGTGTCCTTCCATTTCCCTGTCTAAGAAACACTAATTATTGTTGAAAATAATGAACAAATCTCTTTGAAAACAAAGGTTGGAATAACAACCGCTTTTAGGGCTAATTTTGCTATTCGATGAAGGGGTTCTTGGAGTCCCTGACGTCGACCTGTTCTGACAAAATAGATGGTGAAATCGCCGATGGTGAAGCAATCGACGGTGGGAAAAAGAACCTAATCTGATGATTTGTAAGCTCCATATCAATGGCAAACACGTCTCCTCCATTGAAGTCGTCAACCTAATCCAACAAATCAGAATTGAAATTAGAAAATTGGGAAAAAGAACCTAGAACCAAGAAATCATAAACTATAAGCAAATCATAATCAGAAACCAACAAATATCGGAACCCACTTGCAAGTGTAAGAAGGATGCGTGAAGAAGAAGCATAAGAGGAGGAGGCAAGAAGAAGAAAGTAACGTCCTATATATCAAGGTTAAAAAAAATAATTATAAATATAAATATCAAAACATATTATTTATTGTCTATGTGGATTATATGATGTGCTCCCAAAATATAAAAATAAATTAATTATAACTACCATGTCAGCCTTATTACCGGCTAACCTAATAAATTAGAGCATAATGACTTAATTAACAAGTCAAATACGGGTTTAGTAGTCTATTGTGCAAAAAATAACTTTAGTAACCAAATCGGATAAATGACAAAACTTTAATGTGCTAGAGTGTCATTATCCATTGTTTATAATGAACCTAAAATACGCAATATGGTAAATCCATATATTTTTGCCAAAAAGCTTTTATCTCATTTTTCCCTTTTCAAAATGATATAAATATCAAAGATTAAAAAACATAACATGTTATTTAATCTTTTTTTTTATTAAAATATTAATATCGTTATTTTTTCAAAATATAAAATAGTTTTAAAAAAAATCATATGAGGATAATTTGTATAACATATAAGAAAGATAAGAATAAATTAGTTAATTTCTAAAAAAATATTTTTAAGATGTTAACCATTTAAATGAATTTATAACAATAGCTTTTTTCAATAAAAGTCAATGGAAATACGAGGTTATATTGATAATATAGATTTTAGGTTTATACTCAAATATTTTTATTTATTATGCATCGAATTAAATGTTATCTACAATAAAGGACAACATACCTAACAATGTCTTTGTTATTTTTTATTTTGTTTTGTTATTTTTTATTTTTGTAATTTAATTATTATGAATCAAAATATATAATAAAATAATTAAAGTTTGATATTTTTTTATTGTAAGTATTTTAATATGATATAGATGGTTAAAGTGGTATATATATATATATATATATATATATATATATATATATATATATATATATATATATATATATATATATATATATATATATATGGGTAAAGTGAATATACCTAACAACCTTATATAAGCTTAGGTACCTAACCTCATTAAACTAGGTCATTTTACATTAAATTTTCATTGCAATCATGCAAAGTTCTTAAACTTTATCCATAAACATGATTTAGTTCAAAAAAATTTGGAAATTCATCATTATATTTCTCCTACATCATTTCATTTGTAGCGGTAGGATATGAAGCCTATCAGGCGGTATTCAATACAAATACGTGATGTGAAAGAAAGATATTGGTGAAAATTCACAGATTTTGGAAGTAATAAAGTTATGGGGTTGAAGTTTAAGAACCTTAGGCAATTACAATGTAAATATGATACAAACCGATGTAGTTTTATGGAGTTAGGTACCTAAGCTTATATAAGGTTGTTAGGTATATTCACTTTTCCCTATATATATATATATATATATATATATATATATATATATATATATATATATATATATATATATATATATATATATATATATATATATATATGTTCAGGTTCATTTGAGACCATTCTAATTTTGTGAGACCGTGAGACCAAATCTAAAAATAATTTTAAAATGCAAAATAAATGGAAAAATCCAAAAATTCTTTTTTTAAATATTATTTTCGGAACTTGAATTAACTAAAAAAAATATAAAAAAATAAAAAAAATTCCGTTTTTTTTTTTGAAAAATACGTGAAATATTCTAAATAGAATATTACACTGACATATTCTAAAAAATAATTTTAAAATGCAAAATAAATGGAAGAATCTAAAAATTCTTTTTTTAAATTTTATTTTCGGAACTTGAATTAACTAAAAAAAAATTAAAAATAAAAAAAAAATCTATTTTTTTTGAAAAATACGTGAAATATTTTAAATAGAATATTACACTGTACATATTGTAAAAATAATTTTAAAATGTAAAATAAATGGAAAAATCAAAAAATTCTTTTTTTAAATATTATTTTCGGAACATGAATTAACTTAAAAAAAATTAAAAAAAAATAAAAAAATGCATCTCACGGTCTCACAAAATATAGGTGGTCTCAAATGAACCTAACCCTCTATATATATATATATATATATATATATATATATATATATATATATATATATATATATATATATATATATATATATATATATATATATATATATATATTCAAAGTTTGATGAACACATAATTTTAATAATTTTTTTACCAATGGCACTCCATTTGGATATATATTTATTATTATAACTTAAACCTGCTATAAAAAATTACAATATTTGATATAGGAAATTTATAGAACTTAAATGAGTTTTATAACATATTTTAGTTCAGTTAAACCACAAAAATAAATTTTCGATAAATAATTATTTATTACTCTAAAATATAAATAAATACAGAAAACGAAGAATAACGACACCTGCCTTCTCTCTTTGTTTTCTTCATTCTCACCTTCGCATATCCATCCTTCATTACATATCATATCCTCCTCTTCCATTTCTGTCTCTTTATCGGATTCTGTTTTCTAGCACAAATTCATCGCAATCCGTTCCTCGTTTTGTCATCCGGGGTTCACCGATCCTCGTTCACTCGCCCCCCTGCAATCAAATAAAGCGAAGGGTCAATCTGCATGCATATATCGATCAATGCGCTTCGATGATGTTTTTGAATTTTAGTCGGTGTTGAAGAATTGTGGTTCGTATTATTCTCAATTATGTTATTGTCAAGAGGCTGATGTTTTGCTTGTTGAAATTAGGGTTTGATGCGTTCCGTGAAAAGGGTTCTGATTTTTATCAGGATGCTTTGATTTTGTATAGTCTGTAGATACTGTACCGGAATCGATTGTTAATTTGGATCGTTTTTGGTAGAAATCGAGGGTCGATATGATTATTATCAAGTTGGGTTGAGTTTTTTTTACAAACCCTAGTCAAGGTGTAATTAGGTATATATAGATCCGAGTATAGTTTAGCAGTTCATGTTTACAGCTGGAGTTAATTGAAGCAATAATCATGGATCATATTGTTGGTGGAAAGTTTAAGCTTGGGAGGAAGATTGGGAGCGGATCATTTGGTGAGCTTTATTTAGGTATGTTCCAGATTCTCTGTTTTAAGCATCATTTTCAGGTATTATATCTGTGTTTTTAGTACTTTATATCCATTCATTTTCGTTCTTTGTTTGATGATATGCAGGTGTTAATATTCAAAGTGGGGAAGAAGTTGGCGTTAAACTGGTATTTGATTAATTATTAGCTTTGGATGTTATGATTACTTGATTAATCCATTAACAGGCCTGTTCTTGCTTCATTCCCAGGAACCCACGAAGACAAAACATCCTCAACTTCATTACGAATCAAAAGTATATATGCTTCTCCAGGGAGGAAGTGAGTCTTTCTCACTCAAATGCTCAATCTAATTGGGGTAAAAGTTAAATTCAAAATTTAGAAATAAAATGACAATTTGCTTATCTTGTTAATGAAGCGGGAGTACCTAGTCTTAAGTGGTTTGGAATTGAGGGTGAGTACAATATCATGGTGATTGACCTCCTTGGACCAAGTCTGGAAGATCTTTTCAACTATTGCAATAGGAAGTTTACCTTGAAGACTGTTCTAATGCTTGCAGATCAACTAGTAAGTGGTAGTGAATAGTAATTACCCATCTTTGTATTTTAAAAATCATTTCTCATTTATCTATGCAACTTACTTATAACACAGATTAATAGAGTTGAGTTCATGCATGCAAGGAGTTTTCTTCACCGTGACCTAAAGCCTGACAATTTTTTAATGGGCCTGGGCCGCAAAGCAAATCAGGTGATTGTCAAATTTGTCGATCTTTTGGGACACTGTATGCTTATCTTTATTGGTTTATTTATATGTAGAGTTTCAATGTTATTGAAAATTTTTGTCTTGGGGGCTGTTTCTTTTTTCCCCTCTTCATTCGCGAGTAAATTGGCTGAATCAATAATGATGTCTGTATGGATAAATTGTTGTCTATTTCTTTTCTAGACTGAATAAATCATTTTAACCTTACGGGTACATATAATTAGTATACTATTGATCAATGTTAACAATATCCGTCAGTTTTGATTGAGAGGAATTAGGAGGGATAAAAGAAGGGCAACTAGGCAAATGATTGATGATTGTCTTAATATATTTAACCATGTTTTTGGCTTATCCCAATAAGTCATTCCGTCCAGATGAAGTCAAAATGAAACAGCCATGTATAGCTGTCCGGATTAAGTGCTTAACCAATTAAGCTCATTAAGTAAAAAAGAAACAGCCACTTGATTTTAAGTTAAATAATTGTAGTATTTTTCTTGGTAAAAAAAAGTTGTAATAATGGTGCATGAATTTGTTATGGCAGGTGTATGTCATTGATTTTGGGCTTGCAAAAAAGTATAGGGATCTTCAAACTCATAGACACATACCTTACAGGTAAGTTAGCCTAGCTATCCTCAATTCAAGTTATATTGTTATTATTATTTTTGGTAATAACTCATGATTTGGGGGGTATTTTTGGTCATTGTTTTTGTTTATTTGCACCAGTTAATGTTATAATTTAAGGTATTTCCATTTATTATTATAAATTGTACGACTTGACTGATAGGGAAAACAAGAATCTGACTGGCACGGCTCGTTATGCTAGTGTCAACACACACCTTGGAGTTGGTAAGCCATCTGTCATTTATTTTTATTTTGAGGTAATAAATAAATATTAAATGCGTTTAAATTATTGTAGAACAAAGTAGGCGGGATGATTTGGAATCTCTTGGTTATGTTCTTATGTATTTCTTAAGAGGAAGGTATGCAGCAGTGTATATTTTTGTTTTATTTTAGTTTTAGCATCGATGATTTACATTACATGTATTTGTCTTTTTGCATTAGCCTTCCATGGCAGGGACTGAAAGCGGGAACCAAAAAGCAGAAATATGACAGGATAAGTGAAAAGAAGATGTTGACTCCAATAGAGGTAGGTATATATACATATTCTATTCTATAAATAAATAATTAAAAAACTTGATTATATGATTGAACAGGTGCTGTGCAAATCATATCCACCAGAGTTCACATCCTACTTTCATTATTGTCGATCATTGAGATTTGAAGACAAACCGGATTATTCATATTTGAAAAGGCTTTTCCGCGACTTGTTTATTCGTGAAGGTGAATACTGAATTACAAGACTAAACAAGCCTTGATATAGATATTTATGTAATTTTTAGTGATTGAGATTTGAGTTATTTTTTTCAGGCTATCAATTCGACTATGTATTCGATTGGACAATATTGAAGTATCCACAAATCGGAGCCAGCTCACGAGAACGAGTTAGTGGATTTTATTTTTGAAGACAACAGCAATAATACTAATACTAAATAAATAATAATACTCATCTTGTGTTGTTTTTGTTTTTGTCTTGCAGCCACAAACTGGGAATGCTGCTGGTGGTCAAAATGTTGGGACATCCGCGGAAAAAACAGGAAGACCCTCAGGTATCTATCTATCTATCTCACTTAAAAACTTTGCTTCCAAAAGAAAAGAGAAGGACGATTATGTCTTTTGCACATACCCACAATGCATGTGTATATATATATTACTTTTTGTGATGTAGGTGGACAAGATAGACTCCATGGTGACGCACCATACTCCAGAAGAAATCCGCCAGGTGGCACCCGCCTGGAACATTCCAGAACCAGGATTTCAGAAAACGTCTCTCTCTCTCTCTCTCTCTCTCTCTCTCTGATGTTTGTAGGTAGGGAGGTGACCTAATTTTTGGTATTTTTGATGTAACAGCAGCAAACTGATTCAGAGAAAGTGCGGTCCTCTCGAAACGGGAATTTGTCAAAACACCTAAGCAGCAGACCTGGTTCTTCAGCTGAAGCGACAGATGGCAGATCGAGCAGAGTGATTTCGAGTAGTGGGTCCCGTTTATCAACCACTCAAAGAGGAGCTCAACCCACTACTTCAAAGCCTGGCCGTGAAGATCCTCTTCGAAGCTTCGAGTTCCTCCAAATCAGGAAGTAATAATAACAGAGCCACAAAATAAAAACTAAAAAAAAAATTACTATAATAATTATATGTAAAAATGAGAGTTTGTGTTTTACACTGCAATGTTAATGTAAGGTGATATGACGAAACGTGGATAATATATATGTTGTTTGTTGTTTTCCATAATATATTTTGGTAATCGGTGTTCTGAAAATCTTTGTCAATTTGGTTGTAACGATATACACATCAAAACCTCAGCTAAAATGGATTGATCTTCAACACAATAAAAACAAAACATTGATTTAAGATGAATTGCGAGTAACATCAACATGAAAACATGGGAATATGATGGAACATGTACAGAAAAAAGGTGCGGGAAACTCTCCACTCCATTTGATGGTAATGGAGTGATATTTGATATTAACCTCGTAGGGCTGCCAATCTTTTCTCAAGCTCATCTATCCCGGAACTACATATATATATACAAACAAACAAGATCATAATCACTAAGATGAAGAAGTTATTAACAAAAAAAAAAAAAAGATTTAAATATTTTTTACCTGCTAGCATCCTCGGTATTTTTCCCAGCAATTCTTCCTTTGGGAGCTGAGGATAACTGCAAAAAATTCAACAAAAACTTAAATCATACCAAACATATTGTTGTTGATTAACAAGAGTACAATGTAATAATTATATCTACAAACCTGTGAAGCCACATCCACACCAATCTCATCTAGCACCTGCAATGTCAAACATTTATATATGAAAAGGTAAAAAAATAATGCTGGGTGAAAAATGTGGTGTTTTTTTTTTTATACTTCATGGACTTGATTCCATAAGCTATATATATGAGTGTTTCTTTCTAACCAGATGCAGAAAAACAATAAAAAAAATCACAAGAGGCCTTTCCCATTAAGCCCTAACTTTTTATAAATCTGCCCTCATCCAATTTTTTTAATTCAGACATCATTTATCCAAACAACACAGCACTATGCAACATAGAGTTTACCTGGTTGGTGAGATCATCAGTTTCATCCTCAGCTTCATCATCATCAAGAACATCATCTATCGCATCTGACATCATTTCAGTCTGCACAAAAGAAAAAAATTAGTATTAAGTTCCACTTTCCCTCACACCATGGAAAATAATGTTTTTTTTTTTTTTAATTTTATATTTTATATTGCAAGCGCATTCACTATCTTACAGTCATATCCATTTGTGCAGATTGCTTCTGGAAATCTTGCATCACTTTCATTTGCTTTGCAGGAGCCATTTCCTACAAACAACACATCCACATCATAAGTTATTCATCAATATACAGAGTATTTATTTATTCTATCACAATTTCATAAAGATGTTGAGGAAAACAGAAAATTATAAATAAAATATATGTTGCTGTATAACCAACCTTATTCATTGCTGCCATTGCCTTGGTAGCACCTTTCATCCCAACAGCCACAGAAGAATGCGCAGCTAATGCCTGGGAGAAGTTAAAACCATAGAAAGTCAATCATATGGTATAATTTATTTATGACCAAAAAAAAAATCCCATTTGAAAATTTACCTGTGTATGTGTTGCTATGCCCCTCATTTGAGCTCGACTACTTTGTAGGTTGGCTATTTGCTGTCTAAGCCTCACCAATTGGCGTGCTAAAATCTTTGTTGCTGCCTGCACAAACCAGATGTTAATGCACAAAAATTTCATCTTCATATAATCAACAAACTATATACTTATACTTATATATATGTATATGCTATCAGCTATGTGAGTTTAAACTTTAAAGTAAGCAACTAACGAACCTCATTTCCTGTTTTAGCAGTTCTCTTTATCTCAGCAACAAGCTTCTTTTCCTGCTCGAGTTATATGTATAAGATGCTAGCATTCTTTTTTAAAGGAACAAAGTGCTAGTATTGGATACATGCAAGTTAAATATAATCAAATCCAATGTG